GTCAGGCCCACAGCTTCCCGCATTTATAGCTTCTCCTCTTCACACTGTCGTCCAGACAGAGATTAACTCTTCTGTGCACAAGAAGCAGCGTGTGTCTCTTGACTTAGTCCATGCTGTCTCTGGGGGTATGTCTACACTACCCCGCTAGTTCGAACTAGCGGGGTAGTGTAGACATACCCTCAGAGCGGCGAGGCCGGGGTAGCACTCCACCCGAGCCTACCATCTCTACACCTAGCAGCATGGCTCCTCAGTGGCTGTCAGTGACGGAGCAAGCCTGCTCCAGAGCAGTCCAGGAGGTCCTCCTAGAAAGCAGAAAGCCGTCCACCAGAGCCCTCTATGAGGCTAAGTGGAAGAGGTTTACTTCGTGGCTAGAGGGTAGGACGCTCTCTCCAGGTGAAGGTGCGGTTCCAACTGTCTTGGAATTCCTTCTCCACCTGCAGAAACAGCCTCCTTAAGGGTATACCTGGCGGCCATAGCGGCTTTCCACGCCGGGGGATGGGGGGCCAAAGGTCTATCTTTGCCAATCCCTTGGTTAAAAGATTTCTAAAGGGAATTGACAGAATGATGCCATATGAGAGGCCTCTGGTCCCGGCTTGGGACCTTAACCTGGTCCTGACTGCCCTTATGAAGCCCCTGTTCGAGCCTCTGGCTTCATGCTCTTTGATGCACCGGTCCTATAAGGTAGCTTTCCTCGTGGCCATTACCTCGGCCATGAGGGTGTCAGAGCTTAGGGCTCTTATCTCAGAACCACCCTACACGGTGTTTTTTAAAGATAAGGTGAGGTTGCATCCACACCCAGGGTTTCTTCCCAAGGTTGTCTCGCACTTCCATATGTCCCAGGACACTTACCTGCCAGTGTTTTACCCCAAGCCCTGGCTTCATGCTCTTTGAAGCACCTGTCCTATAAGGTAGCTTTCCTCGTGGCCATTACCTCGGCCAGGAGGGTGTCAGAGCTTAGGGCTCTCACCTCAGAACCACCCTACACGGTGTTTTTTAAAGATAAGGTGAGGTTGCATCCACACCCAGGGTTTCTTCCCAAGGTTGTCTCGCACTTCCATATGTCCCAGGACACTTACCTGCCAGTGTTTTACCCCAAGCCACACGCATCGCCCAAGGAACAGGCTCTGCACTGCCTGGACGTTAAGAGGGCGTTGGCTTTTTATATAGATAGGACACGAGAGTTCCGTAAGTCAACTCAATTGTTTATTTCAGTGGCGGAAAGGATGTGTGGGCAGCCAGTCTCGGTGCAGCGTATATCCTTGTGGATTACTTCCTGCATTCGACTGTGCTACGAGGGCGCGGGTAGACCACCGCCGCGCATAACAGCACATTCCACTAGAGCCCAGGCAACGTCAGCAGCGTTCCTGGCCTGTGTGCCAATCTTGGAAATCTGCAGAGCAGCAACCTGGACATCAGTGCACACTTTTGCAGAGCATTATGCAATTACTTAACTGGCCAGGGAGGGCAGTTCTGAGTTCTGCAGAAGGATAATGGGGTAATTAGTCACCTTCCGACCCCGCCTCCGGAGGGGGGACACGGCTAGGGATTCACCTAATCAGAATGGACATGAGCAAGCACTCGAAGAAGAAGAAGAGGTTACTTACCTCGTAACTGTAGTTCTTCGAGATGTGTTGCTCATGTCCATTCTGCATTCCACCCACCTCCCTGTGTCGGAAGGAGCCGGCAAGAAGGAACTGAGGGGGTGGAGGGGCCAGCAGGGGTATATATGCACCGGTATACCGGTGCCACTCCAGGGGGCTCCCTGCTGGCCCTATGGATACTGCTAAGGGAAAAAAGCTCCGGAATCCGTGCATGCGGCGCGCGTACACCTAATCAGAATGGACATGAGCAAGCACTCGAAGAACTACAGTTACGAGGTAAGTAACCTCTTCTTACCTATCTATAAAGTCCACTGGGTCCTTGAATCCTTCATTGGGGTTCTTAAGTGCTATTGTAATAGAAAAAATAAATAACAGCATGCACTAGTGTCACTGCATTGTTTGGGTTAGAATACTGTAGTATTTTGTACATAATGCATGAATAGAGAGAGACCTGTTATGTTATGGTTCAACCCACGAGGAGTCTTTCTTTTGAAGCACTAAATCTAAGAGTATGTTAATTTATAATGTTGGTATTGACACAAAAAGTTTGACCATCATGAGAGCAACTAATTTTCTCAGTGTCCTTCCAGTAGAAAACTGCAAATTCTGAGGCAATGTTACTTAGTTATCTGATGCAGTTGTAAAGTTTTTAAGTATGACCATTTTACACCTCCACAAAATGGTATGTTTGTGCTTTGATAGTAGTCACAAACCTAAAATGTGAAGTCATGCTGTTTTAATTCTTCTGCATACGTATTGCTGTTGGAAGTGGATTAATCAAGAAAGACATGATAGAGGTTGATTTGTTTTTTTTGTTTTTGTTTTTTTTTCTGTTGTGGCTTTCTCTAAGTTCCTAATAACTATAGAATGCATTAAATCTAGAAGTTCTGTCCTTCTGACAGATATTTCTGACAATTGTTAAATTCTGAAATGTAATAGCTTCTTTTTTTCTTAAAGGCAGAAGAGGAGAGAAATTATCACATTTTTTATCAGCTCTGTGCCTCTGCAGCATTACCTGAGTTTAAAACACTGAGATTAGGTATGAAATTCACATCTAATGTACTGTGTAATAAGCCTGTACCAAGTATTATCTTTAAGCTCTCTGAGGGTATGTCTACACTACCCTCCTAATTCGAAATAGGAGGGTAATGTAGTCATACCGCAATTGCAAATGAAGCCCGGGATTTGAATTTCCCGGGCTTCATTTGCATAAAGCCGGCCGGCGCCATTTTTAAATGCCGGCAGTTCGAACCCCGTGCCGCGCGGCTACACGCGGCACGGAGTAGCTAGTTCGGATTAGGCTTCCTAATCCGAACTAGCTGTACTCCTCGTGGAATGAGGAGTACAGCTAGTTCGGATTAGGAAGCCTAATCCGAACTAGCTACTCCGTGCCGCGTGTAGCCGCGCGGCACGGGGTTCGAACTGCCGGCATTTAAAAATGGCGCCGGCCGGCTTTATGCAAATGAAGCCCGGGAAATTCAAATCCCGGGCTTCATTTGCAATTGCGGTATGACTACATTACCCTCCTATTTCGAATTAGGAGAGTAGTGTAGACATACCCTGAGTGATGGGTCTAAAAGAAGGAACACTGTCTTTTTAATTTTTTATTAATCCTGAGCTGCTTACAGCTACCAAAAATAAGTAAATAGACATTTTATTTCTAAAAATCAAACGTGCAGATTTATATAGTTTGTGTAAGCTAATACACACTAATTTCAAGCATCAGTACAGTAGATGGATATGCACCACACTACGACTGAGGGGTAAAACACTTTAAAATTTTTTCCTCAGCAACTGGGTCAGAGAATGAAATACTAAACCCTTCTCCTGAATTCGGCCTTTTCTACAACTGATGGTGTATATACTTTAAAGACAAATCTTTTTCTTTCCCCTTGCAAAGTGGAGGTGGGAGAGAGCGAGAAGTCTAATTCTTTTTTCTTTATGCCGACTCTACGACCGGGGAAGTGAGTAATCTAATTCTCCTCCACTCTTTTGAACCGGCCTTCTATCAGTGGGGGTGCACACCTTAATGATCTATCACTGCAATATCCCAAAAACATTTCTGCAGTATAAAATACTTATCACTGCAGTCAAACACTTCTGCAATATATTCTCCTTTTAGAATAGAACTTTTCCATTGATTCTCAAAAACAACAGCTTATGCTATCCCTCCCCTCTTGCAATTCTCCACCCAAATGTAAAGAATATCACAGGATCTTTTTAGGGGGATAAGGCAAAATGCCACATTTATTGACAATGTAACACTATTCTGTTATATGCATATTCACACAACCCCCCCCCACACAAATGCACGCACACATATACACATGCACGCATAAACCCCATCTTGTTTTTGCTGAAAGTTACCAGTCTGTTGCTCACATGAACTCACTGCCCAGGTGAGTTAAATGCAAGGGGGAGGAGCGAGGGCTTTTCTTGGCCTGGACCGACGTTCCAATCTTGAAAAGACGAGACCTGGAGATTCATGCAAGATACCCCATATTTTATAGGACTTTTCTCCTATTAAAGTCTATACATTGTGCTGTGTCAGCTCTTAATCAATCATCATTTTTTAACCTCTGTTTATCTGGAAGTCATTCTTCTTTGACATCAGTATGTTGGTACCCCCTTCCCAGTGTTATTTCAAGGCTGTTTTCTTGTTCGTAAAAGAGTGCTTGCTCTGAACACTTCAAGACCTCTATAATGCCCTGCATCAGTCTGCTTTATATTGTGCATCAATTGATGGTAGCTTGACGCCTCTGAGTTTTATGGCCTCTTCTCCCCCTCCTTCGACCATTTGAACTCCGAAGCTAGAGAAGGATAACAACTTAAACACTCAGCAAACATTCACATTCCAATCTCATTAATCCCCCTCTCCAGGAACCATTTCACACGTGGGGAAAAAAGGGATACAATTGCCATACAAAAGGTATCAATCTGTTTCCAATACAAAGCTTCTGCTAGTACAAACTTGTAATCATTTATCATATTTTCTGTGTAACACAATCTGTATTCTAACTACCCCTAAGAGCAACAGTGTGATCATGCTGAATCACAAGGATCCTTCTGATGTTCAAGCAGTTTGCCTGATGCATCTTTATTCAGGGCCTAGGAGATTGTTCTTCCCTGCTAACCAGAGCAGGGTGGCTGGCAGAGTTACAGTTGTTTAACATTTATTCTCATACTACCATTAAGCACATTACACAAGACATTGTAAAACTCTGTTGTCTACATTAGAAACATATTTTACAAGCATTAACGTTTTAAAGCTATTTTATTTTCCTGAGTCCTCACTTTCTCCCTCCCCTTATGGGGCACTGAACAGCCCCTGAGGGGACAACTGCCGTAAATGTTGTAGGAGGGAACTGATCTGATGCTGGCTAAAATGGTGATCCAGAGGACCCTCTTTTCCAGATTTTACTTGACAACAAGGGCAAAAACAGGAGGAAGAAGGGAACTGTGATTGTCTTTAATGTTTTCAAATATATTCAGCTCGTTAGCAAAACTACACACACAGCATCCTTGAGCACAGTAACCTCAAGAAGCTGCAGCGTGCCCTGTAACAGATGCTCACAATCTCAGTGGGAATGCAGCAATCCTCAGACCGAACCAACTGCGTACTCTGGACTATGCCATTGAGACTGGAAACCACGGCAATGGAAAAACTACATGCGCAATCAATTTTAAAATATGTGTGCACCATAACATTAGCACCCTGCTGTCAGCTATGCACCTATTCTTGGGTGGCACCTTTCCATGCACGAGTATGTTATAGCCTGAAGATCTGCTGCGACAATTGATGGAACAATGAAGGAGTTAATACTTGGAATACTTGGAAGAGCTGTGATTTCATCAATGTGGATAGTCTCGCCACCGATGCAGATCGCAACTTTCCACGCCGTGCTGTTTTGTGCTTTTTTTGTCCATGTCCTTCCATGAATTCTCCAAAGAGTTTATAACACCTTTAATTTTTTTTTTTGGGGGGGGGGGATTGAAATTAATACAACAGGATCTGCAGTACTAGCTTCCAGAGACTGTTCTGATTAATATGGACACAGCCAGAGGAGGTGGACTGACTTTCCAGGCCTCTGGGCAAGGGGGAGGCAGCTCGACACTACAGGAAGGGGTGGGACAGAGGCAACCAGCCCTCAGTGTCGCCCAGACCGCAGCACCCCACTTCTGCCCCAACCCTCAGAGTAGCCCAGAGCACGGTGCTCTAGTGGTGATTTAAAGGGCCCAGGGCTCTGAGCACTGCCATAGTAGCAGCAGCGGGAGCTCCAGGCCCTTTTGGATCTCTGGGCTTTGGTGCAACTGCTGCCTTGGTCCCCTGCTTATTGACACAGTGAACCTGTTAAAGGAGCAAATGGCTTAGAAACATTTGGATGTGGTATTAAACCGGAGCAAGAGAAGTTCTCTAATGCAGAAGGCCCGTAGACTGATTCAAATATACTGAAATATATTTCAAACCATGGGTTCTGCCATTTAGCCTTAGGGTTGCCATCTTTGATTGGATGAATTCCTGGAGATTTCATCACATTATATAAACTTTAATTAAAGATTAATCTAATTAAACTCCAGGAAGCTCCTTGAGGGTTGGCAACCCTACATTCAGATTAAGAAGAGAGAGACCTGTTACACACCTTAACACAAAGATGGTTGCAGCTGTGTGGTTTCTACTGTAGTGTGTTGTAAAAATTGTTGTTCTTTCTTATAGGGAATGCAACTTATTTTCACTATACAAAGCAAGGGAGTAGTCCAGTGATTGATGGCATTGATGATGCTAAGGAAATGGTACACACCAGACAGGCCTGCACTTTGCTAGGTAATTATATTTTTATGCTGGAGATGTATTGGCCTCATTCAGGCTTTGGAATCATAGCTATATAGTAAATGTTTTAGTTCATTCTTCCTTTATGATATTTAAAATAGAGAGAGTCTTTGATAACCTTTGGGATTCGGCTACTTTTAAAGTACAATGAAGGTACTGTAATCAAATTTTTAGTACAAGGAAGAGGAAATATTAAGCAATAATAACTGTTGGATTCTTTGGGTACGATGTCCATCTTCTTGCACTTGGATAGAAAGATGATGTCTGTCTGTATCTGTGCAAGTTTCTTCATATCATACCATCAACCATATGTTGGGTTCTGACACTGTAGTATATATATATATGATTTCGAGGGTTTTATAAACTGTCTAAGCAGCAACACAAGCACTTCATTAAAATATTTAGTATTTTTTTAAAGTACATCTTCCTTGCATTTTATTGTAAAACCTAATGATAGGAGGGTCAAGAATAATTTTAATAGCATTTTCTGTGCAGGATTTCTCACACAAACTTAGAGATGAGAGGTGGTGGCAGCAATTTCTCACAAAATTCCAGTAGATTTTATCATTCCTATTTACAAATATTGGGCCCTCCTTTTCATCAGCTGGGTGTCTTTTTGGTCTTTACTTCACTCTTCACTCAGAACATTTTATTCATTCTCTTTTAGGGATTAATGATTCCTACCAGATGGGAATCTTTCGAATCCTCGCTGGGATCCTTCACCTGGGCAACGTTGGCTTTACCTCTCGGGATGCTGACAGCTGCACGATCCCTGTAAGTTATTAATGAGTTAAAAGGATAAAGTTTCAGTTGGGACATTTCTGTGGTTTTTGGTTAGGTGCACTGTTCTCTGTAAGCTATGCACTTGTGCTGCTGCTTAGGAGAGATTCAAATGCTGCGCAGCTGATTAGCAGAGTGCCTACAGCTAGGTTTTTCCCCAAATACTGGTGCACATTCACACATGTATTGGGACACAAAAATGTATTCTGCGTATTGATGGAAAAATTCCACACATGGATGGAAAAGTTTAGAGGGAACATTGGTTAGGAATCTTCTTCGTTTGCAGAGCCCCCATGCAAAGCCAATACAAAAATACAGCAACTTATTTTTTATTTCTAGATTTTTCTTGCTACTCTGCACAAATGGAATCTGCTGTTCCCTTTCTAGATCCCTGCCAGAGGCCCTCCATATTATTTCTGAGGCTCTCTTGAGTCCCTGCTGAATTCACAAATAGTCTTTTCTAGGGAATTCTTCCAAACATGCTAGCTTAGAAGTCTTGAATGGGTGAGCATCTGTACTCCCACACCAAATGGTCCCGCAATGTGTCAAGAATCTTTCCTGGATTTGCTGGTTAATGCAGATCCAGATATCTACAAAGTGAACATTTCACAAAAGAAGCCGTTTGAAGAGCAACCTTCTCTCCCCTTGTATCTTATGTTCAGCAAGTTAATGACACTAGAGTTTTGTCAGTCCTGGCTGCAGGAGCCCTTCCTCTCTTACCATTCTAGAAGCAAGTAGTGAAGAGTCTATATCAGGGTTGGCAACCTAAGGCTCATGAGCCATATATGGCTCGCATCTCGAGCACAGCACCCCCCCCTTCCCGCCCCCCGCTCCTCTCCCACCTGCAACAAAGAGCCTGTGCTGACCATCCAGCATCATGCCCCCCGCAATATTTGAGCCAGCAGCGGCTTCCTGCGGGGCGGGGGAAAGCCCCTGCTCCTCCCTTCCCCATACACGTGTTTCCTTATCCCACCCTACCATCTCCCATGTTCCGGCCGTTGCCGGGTGCTCACCGGAAAGATTGCATCCGGCCGTGGGGGTGATGCACGTAGAGCATGCAGGCGCTGTCGGAGAGGTGGAAGCAGTTAAGATGGCAGCAGAGAATCCAACTTTGGGGACGAGGAGCGGCTAGATTTCCTAAAGAAGCGGCACGTGCGCTTCTTCCAGGGCTGCCTGAAGATTCTGCCTGAGAGATACTCATTCCTGGAGACCACCAGGTACTGGTCGAGCTGCTCCTGCTCAGACACCCACCCTCACCCTGCTCCTGTGCCCTCCCCCCTGGCCAGATACCTGCCCCAGCTTGCTCCTTCCCCCTCTCCCCTGACCAGGCACCTACCCGTAGCTTGTTCCTGCACCCTGCCTCCCACCCGGATTTTTCACTCTATCCCACTCACAGGCAGCTCTGTCCCACATACTGGACCCCTCATTTTTGGCCCCACCCTAGAGCCTAGGAGGGGCCCCACAAATCCACTAACCCTGGAACCTCAAACCTTTCTACCCTTCTCTCCCTGCCCCCATGGGGCTGGAGTACCAGGGGAGGGAGGTGTCTCAGTTGGTGGCCACATCAGTGAGCGTTGGAGGATTTTGGAGGGCTTGTTTTTATGCTACTCACTTGTGTGGTCCCTGAGTGATTTTTCTGTGGGACAGTGGCCCCTAACCCAAAAAAGGTTCCCTCCCCCTGCCGTAAATAAAGACAATGTTGCAACCTTTTGTGTTGGATGTAATATTTTACTTTATTTAAAAATGAAGCCTGGCCAACAAGACCCAATTGGGGCCCAGTTCCCATCTGGCTGCAGCATCATAACACTCCTGCACCTCTCCCAGACCCCAACCCTGAGCCCATCAAATACCTGAACCCCCTGAGCCCCTCATACTCCCACATCCCCTGACTTCTGCACCACCACATCTCCAGTCCCCTGCCATAACATAGGCACCACCCACACACCCCAAACCTGTGTCCTGAGCCCATCATACACCCAACCCTCCTGCCCTGAGCCTTTCATACACCCCAGCCCATACTCCTGCACCCCCACATCCCCAACCCCCACCATAAGATTGTGGCAGACCAGAAGGCAGACTGAATGTGTGCATGGAGCTGGTTTTGACCAGTTGTGATGTAAACTTCAAAGAAATGTGTGAAAAGATGCAGCAGCAGAAGTCCCATTAAATAAAGTCCTTGAGTACAACGTTTCATTTATGCCATTATTAATATTATGTCAATTATCAATAAAATTAAGTTGTATATTTTCAGTCATGCAAATGGGCATTCCTATACAGCTCTTTGTTGACCACTTGTTCCGAATTTTGATGTAGTTTGGCTCTTTGGTTTGAAAAGGTTACTGACCCCTGGTCTATATAGTTTATCTTAAGTGGACCTCCTTTCTCTGTTCATTGAGGACAATCCCATTTCTCTTCCCAAAAGGCTTCTGCAGGTGACGTGTCTCCTGGTAGTGGGAAACAAAGGTGGCTGATTTGTTTGGCTCTTTTGTTTGTTTTCCCTGGGAGTCACAAATGATAGAAAGTTTTTTTCCTTATAAGACCTTGAATTTTTATTAACATGCCAGGCAGTGTTTATTTTCCTCCTTCTGCTCTCTGAGGGTATGTCTAGACTACAGAGGGTTTTTTTGTAAAAACATCCGTTTTTCTGAAAAAACTTCAGTTACATCCACACTGCAATTGCGTTCTTCTGAAAGAAAATCAAGAGAACAGAGGGGTTTTTCCGACATTGGTAATCCTCATTCTACGAGGAAGAAGCCTTTTTACCAAATGAGCTCTTTTGGAAAAAGGCGTGTGTGGACGGGGAAGAGGGAGCTCTTTTGAAGGAAGAGGAAAGAGGAAAAAGCACAGGTGCCCTGGTGGCCACTCCATCAATAGTAATCACAGCTTAAATGTGAGAGAGCATCCACACTGAATGGACGCTACCTTTCGAAAAAGCAGATCTCTTTTTCTATGCACTTTGGCAGTGTGGATGCTCTGTTTTGGAGGAAGTTTTTGGAAGATCTCTTCCGGAAAAGCTTCTTTTGAAAGAAGCCTGCAATCTAGACATAGCCTGAACTGTAGCAATGTAGCAATTCCAGTCTCCCCTTTTCTTCTTTGTGCTTGCTGTCAGTGCTGAAGTGCCCATGCTAGTAGTCGTTGGGATGTATGACATGTTCTATGTCAGAGCCCAGCTGATGAATCTATTTGCTCTGATACCACATTTTGAACCTAGCTGGTGCAGTTTCACAACATTAAACAGGGCTGACCCCAAGGTGTGTCTTAATCAGGCACTTCTTGGAAACTGCATCAAGTAGTGATTCTAGGCAGGAAACTTTAGGAGGAACTCATGCTACCCCTTCTGTGGTCAGTGTCATAACACATCTCCTAATGTCATTAAAGTCCTCTGCCTAGAATTTGGCCCATTATGTTAAAGCAGAACATGAAAATTTACCCTTTTGTTAATGTCAGGAAGCATGCAATATTTCTTGGTTTCCTGGCATTACTTCAAGTCTCTGAAGAATGAGCAGCAGCACAAATGATGAAATTGATTTGCAGAAAGCCTAAGTTACAAAATCATCTTCGTATTGACAGAACTGAAACTTACTATGCTGGCCATTGATGTATTGCACCTAAATTGTGTGTTGAAACTTTACCGTGAAATAAGCAGCAACAGAGTATGTTTATTATTGAGGTACTGGGTGAATTTGTAATGAAGGACATAAAGTAGGACAGAAATTGGTCTGGGTGTCACTTGTTAACAAGGACTTTCTCGTTGTTATAGTGGGATTATTTTATTGCCATTTTGTTGTTCCAATCTCGAAATAGTTATCTGTAAACTGAAAGACATCCTTAGTTAACTGGAATTGGATGGTATAATATATTGTGCCCCAGACCTTTCAAAAAGAAGGGAGGGGCAGAGGCTGAAGGCTGGAAAATAAGAGATCAATATATTCTTGGCCTTTGGTGCCCAGTTGTCTGTAAGATTAAAAATGTCTTTGGTGCTATTCAAATCCTTTTGGTCCTGCTTCTTGTCAGCTGACTGTCCGCTGGTGTGAATAGTGAGCCTGACATGAAAATGTTTATTCATGGGAAAGATCTGTGCTATCATTTAATATATAAGGTGGTAGTTTACTTGGCAATGATTAGGTGTGAGACTCACAAGCCCATGAGCAGCACTTGACTGAGTTGCTGTAATGTAGAAGTACGGGTGATCAATTCAGTATTTCATTCCCATGGAGGAAATATGACTATTTCAGGTATAAAATTCAATGTGAGAGCTGTATTTACATCTTTTAACATGCTTGACTGTTTTATATTTCTCCCCAGAATTCAATAGGGAAACATCTTTTTTTATGTTTATATCTGAGACCAGTTTCTAAAGTGCTTCCTTTTTTGCCCCTGCAAATACTTGACTTTTGAATTAAATAAACTTCATTGATCTCTCACTAGAAGAATTATATGCGAGTGTATGAGAGTGTCACCCAGATTAGTGCTCCTATATTTTATCTTTTCCCTCTTAAGAACGCCCACACACACCTCCTCTTCTTGATTTCATCCAGGTTATGCAATTGAGACATGCACTCTCATATAATAAATACCAACTAGGGATAAATACATATGTGCTGTAAAGATTCTCTGGCTTCTAAGTCAAATCTGAGTTTATGATTGTTTTAGCTCAGCAGATTATGAGTCCAAATATTAATCACCACATGAAAACGTATGTAACTCATTTCTTTGGTGAGATTGTGAATACTCTGAATGGGACTCAACCCACAGACATTCACTTAGAGGAAATTATGTTGCTATTTCTGTGATTATGCTAATTTACAAAAGAATATGAGTTTGAGCAACAAGTCGGCAAATAGATACAGAGAAAGGAAGAGGTGTGAAAACATAATTGTTGCAGCTGATTATTAGATAAATTCGTAACAGAAAAACCCAGTGACATTAAATGTACAATATTAGTAATATTGTTTTAAGGGCCTAAATACATTATTTTTATTTTAGCCCAAACATGAACCCCTCACTATCTTCTGTGACCTCATGGGTGTGGAATATGAAGAGATGTCTCACTGGCTTTGCCATAGGAAGCTTGCTACTGCTTCTGAGACCTACATCAAGCCCATTTCCAAACTGCAGGCCATCAATGCCAGAGATGCTCTTGCCAAACATATCTATGCCAAACTCTTTAACTGGATTGTTGATCACGTGAACAAAGCTCTGCATTCTTCAGTAAAGCAGCATTCGTTCATCGGCGTATTGGACATTTATGGGTGAGTCTTCTGTGTCAGCGATACCAGAGATTTGGTCCATAAGTATCTTACTACAAGAAGGTAGCCTCTGAGTTGCAGTCAGTTTCTTTAGCACATGTATTGGTGCATGGTGAAAACCATGAAAAAAACCCACTGGCGACTAGTTATTGTGATTAAAGGGGGTAATGGGTTATTAGGTGTGTTGGTTTTGACACACCATCTCGGACCTGTGTCCTGGCTTTGGGTATGTCTACACTACCCCGCTAGTTCGAACTAGCGGGGTAATGTAGGCATACCGCACTTGCAAATGAAGCCCGGGAAATTCAAATCCCAGGCTTCATTTGCAAGTGCGGTATGCCTACATTACCCTCCTAGTTCGAACTAGGAGGGTAATGTAGGCATACCGCACTTGCAAATGAAGCCCGGGAAATTCAAATCCCAGGCTTCATTTGCAAGTGCGGTATGCCTACATTACCCTCCTAGTTCGAACTAGGAGGGTAGTGTAGACATACCCATACAGATTAGACATTCATAGTTGGATCTTGGACTTGAACAAGTTTTTGGTAGCTCATATACAGTATTCATCACAATGGGGGGAAATTACAATATACAGATATGCTTGTGCTTAGACTTTCATATTGATTAGTATAGTCCAAATATTTGGGTTACAGTTTGCTATTAACACGGACAGTATGGCAGTTTAACCTTAAACTGCCATATTCTGTTCTGCTTCATAAATCTCCACTTTTTTGCTGATGGTTTAATAAATGGGATCCAGTCCTTTCCCTTTGCACACATCTGATTTTGCACCATTGCCCATCTCTCTTCTGGGCTCTCTTTTCATTTCTTTTTTTCTTGTTTTTTGCAGCAGCCGTTGTAGCACTTTTTCCTCTGCCCTGGAGAGTTGAATGTACATCCTCTTCTGAGGCTGTGTTGTAGATAGGGCACTGTGGGAGCAAGGATGGCTAACATACTCTTCAGGAGCCATAAGCATCACCACATTGACACCCCTTGAGCAAGGAGAAAGTCTCTCTCAATTGCTCCTGGCTCTGGGATGTCATTGCCCCCATCTGTCTTGCCACTCCGTTGTGTCATGTTTATACTCAGTACAACCAACTGAATACCACTGATTGCCCTGTGTAAATATTATGAGATAGATTATTTTAAATTACAAAATCATTTATAACATCTTTACATTGTGGTAGTAACTCTGAATGTCTTGGTGTTGCAGGTTCGAGACATTTGAGATAAACAGCTTTGAACAGTTTTGTATCAACTATGCCAATGAAAAACTGCAGCAACAGTTCAATATGGTAAGTAGGAAATTATTGGCACCTCTTCTCTCCATTTTTCCAAAATCTGTTCTGTTAATTAGATCCCCTGTGTCTGAGATGAATTCCTTCAGTGTAACAATGTAAGGGGTCTTAGACGTGGGGCTTAGAGTAGAATGGCTGGGGAATTAAGAGAGGGGTTCCCAACCTTTTCTCTGCCTTGGCGCACCTTGATACTTTTAATTATTTTCAGGCGCACTAGCATATTGTCTACAAATGAACTCACTCTCGTCTTGCTTTGGTTTCAGTTGTTTACCACCCTTCATTATTCACCATCTGCACAATACAGTTAATAATGTTAGAGTCTAACATCATTAATTGTGTTGTGCAGACTGTGGTTAAGACTTTCAGTCAACTCACACATTTTACACCATTAAGACCGCAGTTCTACCCCACTGCCACCCCAGACACCACAAGTTCTGCCCCACCCAGACCCTACCTCACACCAACTCTGCCCCTCCAAGACCCACCAGTTCTGCCTCCCCAGATCTCCCACTTTACACCAATTCTTCCCCATCCAGGTATCACCAGTTCTGCCTCCACAGCTTCTCCATCCCCACCAGTTCAGCAACCCTAGTTTCCACACCTCAGATCCAGCCCTGTACTCCCCCAGTTCAATCCTCCTCCTCACCTCTGTTTCTCCAGGATTTGTTCTAGTCCCAACCAAAGTGGGGTAGTGAGACAAACAGCCAATCAGAAGGCAGCTTTTCATAGACTTTAAGGTCAGACGGGACCATTATGATCATCTAGTCTGCTCCCCTGCACAATGCAGGCTACAGAATCTCACCCACCCACTTTTCCCCAACCCTGTCCCTGCTGTGCAGGATTCAAATTTACTATTTTAATCTCATTTTGGGGAATGGAATGTGATGCTCAGACATTTTTGTTTTCAAATGTAATTTTTCAAAAAATTCTGCGGCACATCTGTTTGGCCTTGATGGCACTCCAGTTAGGAAACACTGATTTAGACCATCTCTGGAAATAAGATTCTATAAATATCGAGTACTTTGGGCATATTTTAAATTCTTACCATAGTAATAGCTTTAAGTCAACAGAAGCAGTATTTTGCTGTTAAGATGTTGAAAAAACGGTCAATAAGAATACAGATTAGTTTGGAACCAGTCATATCTGCATATCTTCCAGTGCAAACCTCTTTAGTGGCTGCATCAAGCAGACATTCAGTTCTGGAAATCTGACACTTTAATTTTCTTGGTTTATGGTGTACATTAGCATGATTTGTAAGAGTACAGCCACTTCCTAACATTGATTGAAGTCAGCAGGGTGAGAGGCGCCTCTTTATTTTTCCTCCTTCAGAGAGCACTTAATTTCAACAGATAATCCTGCTATCCTGGGCCAGAGATGTAGTTTGTAATGATGTAGTTTATCTGCATGAAGATGAACAGAATGATTTATGCCAGGCTCCAAATGTCAGCAGTGTTGCTAGGCTCCACTGGATTGTTGGAACAGTTTTAATATATATATATGCAAATATACCTCAGCAGTGATGTATTCTGGGAAGCTGGATCCTATGCCATGGGTACATGTTCCAACCACACAGAGCACTTGAAAGTAAACTGTCAGAAATAAAGTTGAATATTCCCACTCCAGAATATTCACAGTATTATTGTAGTGTTGCTCATGCTGTTGCTACAGAGGGTCTCAGCTTCCCAAGATTTTTCTCTGTGCCCGGCTTTTAAGGTATTTCAAAGGTTTCTCACCCTTATAGCAAAGATTCTGTCACAGGAGAATCCCAAGGATTAATTCTTGCGATTCAGACTGTTTTCACCTTTATTCTATTTCCTTCCTTACAAGGCAGCAGCAAACCCTGCACCCACGTTATGACTGAGAGAACAGATGGCTACTTCTGTGGCTACTGCTGTGTCTGCTGTGTCCATAATGAGTTCTAAGAGGTTACCAAACCCTCCCAGAGGGTCAGAGTTTCTGCTGCATCCATCTTAGATTCACAACTGACTGGCTGATTATGGCCTCTTAGGGACTATATGTCCCAGAATATCGGGAGTGCATCATAGTCTGGCTACTCACTCCCTCTTCTAGTATGACCTCTGCTCTAGGGGCTGCAGGGAAGAAGTTGTACAAAGTGGAATTGGCAATTGCTGTGCACTTGCATAAGAAAACAGAATTTCATGGAATCAGGAAATCTGATGAAATTTAAGAAAAATTTAAATGTGGTGCTACCAAACGTTTACAGATAAATTGCCTGGATATCATGGAATCGTAGAATCATAGAATACTAGGACTGGAAGGGACCTCGAGAGGTCATTGAATCCAGTCCCCTGCCCTCATGGCAGGACCAAATACTGTCTAGACCATCCCTGATAGACATTTATCTAACCTTCTCTTAAATATCTCCAGAGATGATGATTCCACAACCTGATTCTGGTCAGCCACTGGTCAGTTTCAGCAGCGGCTGAATCGGGGACATCTGGGGCAGAGCAGCTGGGGTGCTGTCGGATTGATCCCGTAGCACCGCTCCTCGGCGCTGTGGGACCA